TTTAAATGCAACTAAAACAAAGGCTCCCAAGTGAATTATTTTCCCTCCAAAATGAGTGACATATTAAAATTCATCCACTTATAAAAATAAGCATTACTGGTACTTCTAAAAGAGCTACATTATAATTCTACATCAATTGATTGAGGCATTAATTTTAAGCTGAATGGGCAATATATTCTTATTCAACAGTCTGAGTCATGGGTAATAAGTCTTTATGGCCCTTATAAAAGTGTGTTTTCAATGGTACCCATTCACCATCTGGATTATAGTAACAGTCATGCAAGAGTTCCACTCTGTTTATTTGGGGTCAAATCAAAAGGATTATTTCCTAGGTCTCTAAATTCTTACCACAGAAATCTTTTACATGGGCAAACAATTGTTTCCTGCAATGTATTTGTGTTCAGTAATTTCAGGTATATTAAAATGTCACATAGACCTTACAACTATTACAGAATTTCTCAGGAGTATGACTCCATTATCTTGATTTTAAAACAGCAACAACAATCTATTACTAGTATTTGAATAACCCAGTTACTGATATTCAAATGACTAGAGTCCAGTAAATCTTTGACAAAGAACTCTGTTCATCTGCTAATTCATACTCTTTAATTTTTTTTTTTTAATTTTATACTATTTTTGAAAGTGTGAATCGCCCTGAATTGAATGAAGGAGGGAAGAGTTGGTCTGAACTGTCAAAGTAAGTTAAGAATCTCTCAGGCGGGGGGCCTTCCCCTGGCGCTGTTTGCAGCCCCCGTCACCCTCCCCAGTTCCCCACTTGCCATTGGGAGCCTGACAGCTGGGGGAGGGACTGGGAGGTCGGCAGCCTGCTCGCCAGTTCTGACCCCCTCACCCCAGTTCCGCCTGCTCCCCGGTCCTACCCCACCACAGGTTGTCCTCTGTGTGTGAGGCCACAGGCAGGGTGGGGGCCTTGGCCTGGAACCACCCACATTCCCCACAACCCACCCCAGGGTCCCTGTTCCCCAGTGGGAGATCGGAGCCTGCCAGCTGGGGAAAGGGACCAAAGGTGGTCAGTGCACCTCATGGTGACTGGTTGAGTGGTCGTTCTGTCATTATGGTTGCTGGGCTTTTATTATAGAGGACTAGAGGCCCAATGCATGAAATTCATGCAAGAGCAGGCCTTCCTTCCCCCAGCTGCTGGCACTGGCTTCCCTCTGGTACCCAGGACCCAGCCTTCCCTCTGGCCAATGGCACACACCCAGGACCCAGGCTTCCCTTGCAGCCCCCCACACACACACTCCCACGCCCCCGGTCAGGAATGATGTCCTAATTAGCATATTACCCTTTTATTATTATAGATAACATGATGTCCTGTGCTTAAAACTATCATTTCCCCTTGGCAAGCCCCTAACTAGTTGCAAACTCTCTAATGGTTTGATTATGGGACAATGCCATGCATTTGATTCTTCTATTCTGGCTGTGCATTAGAAATAGAGGAAAATTTTATGTTTTATCACCCAAGTTTTTACTTCCTAATTTTTATACCTCTAAGGCAATGTTTCCTAGTAAACTGCCACAATATTAGATCATAACTAAGAATTCTCTAAAAAAAAAAAAAAAAAAAGTTTAGATTTCAAGTGATATTATAGGAAATGCCTAAAACAGACATTGATAACTGGGATAGAGACATAAGGTTCTAAAAAAAATCCAAGAAGCCAACACTGGCCATATTCATTCTCATTTGATGTAGGTATCATTGCTTCTGGGCAGAAAGGAGGAAGAGGTGGAAGTAACAGAGGGAGCTTGGTAGATGGTGGATCATAATTCCAACTCCTACCTCACCATAGGTTCTTGGTAAACCATTTAGTGTCTTGTTTCTGTCTCATGTATTAAATTCATTAATTGGTAAACCTTTTCTGTGAAGGGTCAGATAGTAAATACTTTAGGTTTTGTCGTCCATATTGTCTCTGTCACAACTACCCAACTCTGCCATTGGAGTGCAGGAACAACCATGACAAATGCAAATGAATGAGTGTGGCTATGTTCCAATAAAGTTTTATTTACAAGAATAAATTATTTGGCTCATGGGCTGGGCTGTAATTTGCCAATCACTAGCATATCTACTTACTACAGAGAGTTTAAAAAGAGAGAAGTAGCCAAAGCCGGTTTGGCTCAGTGGTAGAGCATCGGTCTGCGGACTGAGAGGTCCCAGGTTCGATTCCGGTCAAGAGCAGGTACCTTGGTTGCGGGCACATCCCCGGTAGGGGGTGTGCAAGAGGCAGCTGGTCGATGTTTCTCCCTCATCGATGTTTCTAGCTCTCTAGCTCTCTCCCTTTCTCTCTGTTAAAAATCAATAAAATATATATTTTTTTAAAAAGAGAAGTATCATAAAAAGATAAAATTATGAATAAAGGAGGAAGGCATAAATGAAGACGAGAGGAACCTGCTTATTCAGAGAAAAACTTGAGTTCTAGACATTTTCTACAAAAAAAATAAACCCAAAGACTAATATATGAAATCAAATATTGATTAAAATTATTTATCATAGAATTTAAACCCCAACTGGGAAACTTAGCTTTCTAGTCAATCTCTGGGGCAGTCATGTGATTGTTTTTCCAAGTTAAAAGGAATACTACAGAATTAAATCCTCTATGTAAAGTGTCCACTCTTTTTTCAGTAGATACTATCAACCTAGAGGGATCATGCTGGCTTTTTCATTGCTACTCTAATTACTTTAGAGGTCAATTCTAAAAACCCTTACTCTACCAGATATTTACCTAATTAGTATACAAGAGGGATAGAAACCATGACTATATTCCTCTGTTTTACATTTTTTTCTCATTTCCACAAATCTTTATGATGCACTATCATATGACATTTCAGTTTCCTATATGTCAACATCAATTACTTTGAACACCTTATCAAAATAATTTACCAGCATACTGTAAAATGGAACATTAGCACAATCCCTCAGGGTTTCTCCTATGTTTATAATTCTTCTACAACTTGGGAAGCAACTTGAATGGATTGATCATTTTGAGAGGATACAGACCTATTATAATCTCTTACCTGAAACTCTATGTGTTTCAGGATATGATCCTTTCAAATTTGAGGAGAGCAATATGGCCTCCTCTGCCACATAACTTGTACAGCTCCAGTGAAGCCTGTGGCAGCACCCCATAACCAAGGATATTAATTCTGCTACAGTCAAACTCATTTATACCAAATAAAGACCACAATTAGCCTCGCGTCAGTTCCGTTCAGAATTTTGCTGTCAGGCATATTTAGTTTCAAACTTAGGAAAAGCCTTTTGGTTTTCAGAGCTATTTGAATTTTGGTAAGGGACTGTGGGTCTGTACTATGTACAAACACACACAAAAAGCCTTTCCGGCAGCTTTTCCAGTTCAAATACACCCACAATGTTGAGTATGTGAATGCTACAACCTGTAGCTGAAGAAACTTTCAAGCATGAATTCAAGAATAAGCCGGAATTCTTACACTGCAGGCACCATTACCGAGAGGAACTTGCTCCCTCTGCTAAAGGGGCTTTCCATTTCCTTTCAGAGCCAGTGCAGCACAGAGCACACTCTCATCAGCATTAGTGGACAGTCTGGCAGGGATTCTCAGCCAAAAAGGCTTGTCCCTCGAGGACAGGTGATTCTGACATGAGTAATCTATCCTTTCAAGCATGTCAGACTCGAGGCATGCGGCCCGCAGGCTGCGAGTTTGACATGCTTGTAAATTAAGACTCTTTGGTTTCCTCACCAATAAAAAGACAGTTCTAGTTTGGACAGCGACTGCAATCCTGTACTTTAACTGGCATTTATATTTGTATCTCTTCAAGAGATTATTTTAAGTCCAGAACATTGATTTTTAGCCCTGGCTGTACCTTAGAAACACATCTGGAGTGTTGATAAAAATACAGACAGACAGGCCTGGCTGGTGTGGCTCAGTGGTTGAGAGTCAACCTATGAACCATGAAGTCACAGTTCGATTCCTGGTCACATGCCGGAGCTGTGGGCTAGACCTCCAGCAGGGAGTATGCAGGAGGCAGCTGATTGATATTTCGCTCATTGATGTTTCTATCACTGTATCCCTCTCTCTTCTTTTCTCTCTCCAAAAATCAATGAAAACATTAAAAAAAAAAAAAAAAAGATACAGGCAGCACTAGATCAACACCCTTAAGAGACCCAAAGCATCAAAAAGATAACAGTTTTCCTCATACATAATTCAGAACGAAAGCAATACTCTATCACAAAACTCATGTAAGGAAATCTATGCCCTGATCTCCCAGTGGAGGAAGGAGGCGGGAGATGGGACCAAAAAGGCAGAGACAGAAAGACAAATTGGATGGTGGCCTCCCACCCTGCCACGCAGTTGAAGGTCCTACAAGGCTTCAGAGTCTTCAAGCCAAAATCCACAGTCAGAGGAGCTCTCGTCTCCAGGAATGTGCCTGCCCTTGTCTTCACTGTCAGTGTCTGACGGACACCTCAATGCAAACCCAGCTGCCATGCAGTGAGGCAGCTGAGCCCTAGGTCAAATACGTTCTCTGTCGTCTTCCAGTATTGGAGCTCTGTGCCAGATAGCCAAGGTGGTAAAAGGGGCTTTCCCTGACTAGTGTCTTATAAAGCCCTCCATAACTCTCTTTTTTTCTTTTTTTATTGAATTTATTGGACTTTCAAGTGTACACTTCTACAATACATCATCTGTTGATTGTATTGTGTGGTCACCATCCAAAGTCAAGTCTCTTTCTTACCATTATCTCCTCCTTACCCTTTTCTACCTCCCCCCACCGACTCCCCGTTCTCCCTCCCCTCCTCAGTCAGAGGAAGACAAACACCATATGATTTCACTTATACGTGGAATCTAATGAACAAGATAAACAAACAAAATAGAAACAGACTAGTAGGTACAGCTGCAGAGCCCTCCATCATTATTAATCAAACTTCTCACTATCATAGGATTGGAAGAGGAAAGGGGTAAAGTAAAATGTTACTGGAATATTTAAAACAAACTCACACTTGTAAACAATGTACCAAATATTTTATTTCTCTCAGTAGTTCATATGCAAATAATAAACTCTCAAAGCATTTTGAAAACACAAAAGACATTATTATACCTTACTAAAAAATTATTTCTGTCCCAGGGGATTAAATTAAAATGTTACCAATATTTAAAAATTCATTTATAAGGTAACTTGAGCTGGGACTGGTTTGGCTCAGTGGATAGAGCATCGGCCTGTGGACTGAAACGTCCCGGGTTCAATTCCGGGCAAGGGCATGTACCTTGGTTGCAGGCACATCCCCAATAGGAGGTGTGCAAGAGGCAGCTGATCAAAGATTCTCTCTAATGGATGTTTCTAACTCTCTATCCCTCTCTCTTCCTCTCTGTGAAAAATCAAAAATATATATATATTCATATATATATATATATTTATATATATAGTAACTTGAGGTGAGGAATTCATAGGTTTCTTCGTTCAATGTTTTGTACATGCCATTCGTACAATAAAATTTCTTAATATTTAGGGCACTGTCAATAACTATCATTCATATGAAAAATATATATATCAGATTCCTGATTAAGTCAGTTGTAAAATACAAAATACAGCACACTTGCTATGAAATTCTGTTTGTAATGTTCCTTTTCACAAACTGCAATTAACTACTGATGAATTCTGTTTAATCCTAGAAGTTTTATAAATGATACTTTTCTTCACAGAAAAAAAAGAAAGATGTTGAAAAGACAGCAGAGATCACCACACTATATAAAAGTCAAATATTTAAGGAATCAGTTATTGCATCCTATTTTTTGGAATCTGCAGTAAATAATAACTAGAGAAAAAAATTAGCGTTTTAAGGCCAGTTCCCTCAAAACACATATATACCAATTATGTACCAGTGTTGTTATATATGCCTTATTTTACTTCTACATAAAGCAACTAGAGATTTTTCATTCTTCCTATTAAGTATTTAAAATAAATTTCTAGGCTTGCATTATAACTGTTCATTTATAATGCCCTTCAGGATCTTTCAACTTACGGAGATATAAAACCATGAAACTTTTCATACTTCTAAGTCTTTAAAACTTAAAGTGCAATATTTTCATGTATCAGAAAATTATAATTGTGCCATATAAATTCATTTTGAAAGAACATGTAAACAATTTCCAAAATTTTGTGAATGATACATAATAGGGAGCAGAGCACTGATATTTTAAGTTTTGATTTTTCATATGTCTTTATATTATAATGCAAGTATAATAAAACCAAAACATTTTTATAAGGAGAACAATGTTTTCATGAGGAAAAAAAAAAAAAAAAAGAAACGTCATGTCTCCCTTTAGTGGCTTTTCTTCAGTCAATTGCCGCATTTACCAAAAACGTTAGTTCAGTTACTGAACAAAGTATCCAATATTTGTCCAAAGGTTTGTCCAAAACCTCTCAAATAACAATCTCATCTAAGCTCCTTTCTTCTTCTCAAGTAAAGGCTTTAATTAAAAACAAGTCTATTATCATTTGATTCACAATATTAACATCAATGAAAATTTCACTCAGTTGGAGGTGATGTTTCTTTAAGGGTCTGACCCATTCGGTGGCACTGTAGAGTGGATTATTAACATACAGGTGGCTATAAAATTAGTCAAAACCAAAGGAAAAGAACATGGAAAACCAAGTATCCAGCTATTCTAGAAAAAAAAAAAAAATCTACAACTAAAGAATTGCTTAAAAATTCTCTTTGGTAAGATACAGAAGGGTGGTTCATAGACAAGACAGATGACTGATTTTCTCCCAGGAGCAGCCTTAGGATCTGTGATTACAGGTTCTTAGGGCCTGAGAGGTTTCAGTGATGACTGCCTCCTCAAGTTCTGCTGGTATCTCATTGACTGTGCATCCTCAATGGCATGGCATGCTCTCTGCAAAATAAAGTATTCATTATAAATGGTAAAAGAGAAGTACAGGCTAATTTGGTGGAAGAGAAAGATACAAACGCAGGTGCTGAAACTTTCCATACAGGTCTAAGAGCCAAGGACAAGAATATACCTCATGTGTAATGCAAAATAAGACACTTCTGGCACACTGAGCCTAGTATATTATTTTAAGCTCACATATATGCATCCAAACATAACTGGAAGATCTTTTGGAGAAATAATTGGTATTGGTAACAATAACCTATTTTTAAAATACCTTTCAGCTAAAAAACTTAGGGGATGTTCTTTGAAATAAGTTGTTTACCTCTGCTGTGGTGGTATCCAGCAGGTAAATTTTCCGGAGACAGCCTTGATTGGCACTATCTTTTTTGTGGAACATACCCTGATCCTAAGAAAGAATGACAGGAAAGATTATTCTGGGGATGAAGAAAAAATTCATAATAACCTTTAAGTGGATGCTTAAATGTCAACTCTATTTTATAACCATACAAAATACACATAGTCAGGTAGAATAAAAAATAAGTCATTTTGGTATAAGAACAGTGGTTCCATCTGTGAGTTGTTATAATTTGTGAAATTGGAGGAGCATACATCTATCTGTATAAAATAATGACTTTTTGCAAGCTATGGTATTTACCATCACATCTGCCAAATCAAAAAACCCTTCCTTCATTTCCTTGGCTGATAGATAAAATTCTTATACAATGTAAAATACATGGCGTCAATTCTCAACACTGATATGAAAGAAAAGTGATAGATAAACAAGGAAACTGTAATATATCTGCAGAGTGACACATTCTTTCCTAGCTTGAAAACTATGTCTCATATACTAAGGCATGCTACATTTTGACATTTTGCAAGGAGGGAAGATTGGAATACAAAATACTGTAGTTTCATGGTAGTTTCTTTCATTTGTGAACTTCTATGAAAGAAAACATAAATTAAAAACTAATAGTACTTGCACCTCTATTAAATTTTATGATAAATCTTTTTCAGATAGATTCAGTAATGGAGATAACATCATTACTGTTCAGGAAAAACACCATCTTTGAAGTGAAAATTTTTAGTTTCTTCTAAAGAGGTCAAAATAAATTTATCATATATAACAAAAAAAAGTGTGTGTGTATGTGTGTGTGTATATATATATGAGAGTAAAGTGAGAACTAAGCAAAAGATAGGCTATCACTTTTGCTCATTACCTGCTATATAATTAAAGTTTTTCCTTAGAAAATGAAGGGAAGTAAATATAATACTTGGAGGTATTATTACATACCTCAATTGTTTAGTATTCTAAAAATGCTAAATATTATAAAACATGGATGTTTTAGACATTATATTTATAATAACCCTCTAAATGCCTCAAAATTTGAATCTTTCCAGAAGTATCTTAAATTAGAGCAAAATAGGTATTCATATGAAATTAAAAAGATCTTTATTTACTAATGCTTCATTCTCCCCAAAAAGGAAGTATCAGCATCCCAGAATTTTCAGTAGATAGAATTGATATTTCACTCCACACAATCAAGGACTGCCAGAAAATAAAGTACAGTATACCAATAAATCAATTACACCTTTTCTTACATTTCAGAAAATAATAACAATCCTTCAAATATTTTGTGTAGTTAACTGTAATTAAAAAAAAAAAGTCAAAAAACATTGGTTTCCACTCATTTAACAAATTCCTGGCTCTAAAAATGTAACTCAAATTTTCTTACCTTAACTGAAATGTTTAGCAGGTTTCCATTGACACTAGGAGGAAATACAAAATCTTCAAATGGATACTGCCAGTCTATGCACATAAGGCCAAGAATTTCAACCTCCTTTATACACAACACTCGCCTATTTTGCAAAAGGAAACAAAAACATACAGGTAATGATAAAGACTGTTAATGATTATCACTAATATTTTACTCTGCTGGATAAAACAGGTAGTACTCAGTAAACAATATAACCTGGCATTAAAAATAGTACGCTTCATGCCGAGACCGGTTTGGCTCAATGGATAGAGCGTCGGCTTGGGGACTGAAGGGACCCGGGTTCGATTCCGGTCAAGGGCATGTACGTTGGTTGCGGGCATATCCCCAGTAGGGGGTGTGCGAGAGGCAGCTGATCGATGACTCTCTCTCATCGATGTTTCTGGCTTTCTATCTCTCTCCCTTCCTCTCTGTACAAAATCAATAAAATATATTTTTTTTAAAAAATAGTACGCTTCACATAAAAAGTCTAGATAAAGAGCAAATATGGCACCGACCAATTAACAAAGCAGACTTTCAAAAATTCTGCTTCTGCTAATCTTGCAAAATTTACAAAAGTGTTATTTTTTTTAAACTGAGCAAAAAACTGAAATCATCTTTTAAACACATAGAAACAGGTTGTACTCTCAGCTGGCAAGCAATAAAGGCAGAAGCTCCTGAAAATGTCTTACTTGGAAAATTATTAATTGCTCTTTACTGTCAATCATTTATGCCTTCCAGTCAAGAAAGAATGTGCAGGAAATGTCACAAACCTCAAATGTCAGCAAAGATTCATGTTAGGCCTACTAATAAATATCAGGTTTGAATACTTTAACACTAATATACTATATCAGAGTAAGTATCCCATTTTACTCAACTGTAATAAAAAAAAATAATCTTTAAAGTGTATACACATTGATTTCCCAGTGTGTGATTCAGATTAATTACTGATATAACTATGCTTGGCTCTAAAGTGTCTCTAACAGAAAGAAAAACGAGGAAAATAGAACTGTTAATCCTACAGTAGCTAGGGTGCCAGAGACACAAAGAGGATAGGGCTTCTGCTCGAGAGGTCCTCGGGAGGCTAGAAGGGGAAACAACATGTAAATAAATAAAACAGGTAAGTGTGATGGCGGAGTGAGCAGAAAAATTCTGAAGCACAGAGAGGAGGCCCGATTGTGCTGGTAAAGTAGGGGGCGTTAAGAGTTGATTCTCAAAGGGGATTTTTTTTTTTTTCCATTTTAAGAAATGTTGACTTTAACCTACAGGCAAGGGGAAGTGACATGATAAAATTCCTTACTTCAGTCATAGCTCTAGTGGTCATGGAGAAAAGGTGGGATAGATAACCAAGGTAGGAAGTTACTTTAATAGTCCAGTCAGGAAACAGTGAAAGCCTCAATGAAAGCAGTGGCTGTGAGAAGCGGGGGAAAGCTCAATTCCAAACATTTATAAGGAAGGTAAAGAGTTCTACGAACTTGGTGACCAATGGAGTGTGGGAATCAAAATAGACCCCTGGCACCACAATTCTCAGCAGAAGTGCTAGTAAAAGTGTGGGCTTGTTTGGGATTGTCTTGTGCACTGTAGGGAGTTCAGCACACCCAGCCCCAGCCTACTAAATAAATGCCCTCCAATCACTAGGACAACCTCCAATACCCCTACACATTCCAAACAGTCTCTAGGAACTGGGTTCCAGTTCCACGCCCCCTACCCCCTGCCCTAGTAGAGATCAGAAGATGGAGTTAAAACTCAAAGACGCCCATTAAAAATCACTGTGTCAAATGCAATTCACCATTCCAACCCTCCCAAAACTCTCCCTTCTTTTATTCACACCAATAATATTGTTGTTGTTCTTCCACCTGCAATCTCCTTCATTGTCCTTCTCCGTGTTTACCACAGCTCAAATCTTGGTCTTCTTCTATTTAACACCTCAGGGCCCAAGATCTCAACTCCAAAGCTTTACCCAAACATCAATGGTCTATATCTGTGTCTCTGCTACTGAGGCATCTACACTTTGACATCTCAAAGCCACGTGGAAGTCAGTCAATTTAAAACAAAATTTTAAAAAGTCTTTTCACTCAAATTACTG